GGGTTTATTCTATATATATTTATTTTATTTACTTTAAGAATTTTAATATTTATTTTACTTTTAGTTTTTTTTTATAATTAATATATACGAAGTATTACTATTATATTAGAAGTGAAAATTCATTTATATAAGGTTATTTATATATTTAAGTATTTACTATATATTATATATTTACCTATTTTATTCTATTAATTCTAATATTCTATAATTATTTCTAATATAAAACCTAATCCCTCTAATAATTATTATTATACTCTATTCTATTTAACCTATTATTAAGATCCTTTATTATATAATTTACGTTACTTCTACTTTATTTTATAAGTTCTTTTACTTTATTAAAACTATTTTATAGTAATATTATAAAATAAAGTAGTAGATTATTTATTATTAACTAATAGTCCGCTAATTTATTTCGTAAGTGTTTGTATTGTATATAGAATAGCGAATTATAGCCGTTGTAAGTATACAGTATAAAACCTTTTATAATAGATGTATATAGATTTATTATTGTTTATGGTAGGTACCGGTCTAATTCGAAATTCTTATACTATATTATATTCTTTAAGTGCCGGTATTATCCCTAATCTATTTTATATCGATAATTTAAGGCTTTAGCTTTATTATATTTATAGTATAAATTTACTAGTTTTCCTAGGATAATATAACGCCGGCCTACTTGCGGTTAAATAGTATATTAGTTCTAATAATTAATAAAATCCTAGAATTCGTATTGTATTTAGAGTATAAACGTATAGAGTAATACTATATAGTCTTTTATCCTAGATGCGTTTTAATTATCTAATGTTTTTAATCTTTTAAAGTATTCCTAGTAATATTAAATTGGAACCGATTGAAGACGATTAGAAGAAATTTATAATTTAAATAAATAATCGGCTATTACATAACTACCTCTACTAATTTTTAATTCGCTAGTTAGTAGTATTTTATCTTCGTATAAAAATATTAGGTATATAGAATGGTACTTCGGGACTATATATTAGTAGAATTTAATCCTTAGAAATTATATTATATTATATAATAATATTTTAATTAGGGGGGCCCGGTTTAAAAATAACGATTTTATTCGGCACTATACGTCGAAATCTTAAAATTCTTCGTAATTAATTATTAAGTGCGAGGTAATAAAGCCTATATACTAGTATATTTATTTTATTACTATAATCGGACCGTATTTATATTAGTATAAAGTTATACTTCCTAATTACTTCTACCTACTAATAGAAGACGGATTTTTATATTATTGTAAAAATTCTAATATAAAATTATATAATATATTAAAAATAAGTATCGATATTAGTATAAACTTTAATATTATATTTACGCAATTTTAAATAAGTGTTAATATATTATAAATAGTTAGGACTAAGTATAGTCCATCTTCCTTTATAATATTATAGGAAATTAAATTTATTTTAGATTATTTAAAGGAAAAATTCTTTAAAGTAAGTAAAGAATAGTTCCTATAGTAAATAAAGGTTAAAGAATTTAGTAAAATAATATTATAGTTCGCGTTTATTTATTCTTCGAATAAAATAAGCTTTATCCGATTTTTATATTCCCTAAAGAATAGTTCGTACTTTTATAAATTTATTTTTAAGGATTTTAGGCGTATATTTTTAGAAGATATTTAAATTTCTTTGTAAGTTTTGTAATCTATCAAGAGAAATTATATATCCTCGCTTTTAAAAGATAATAAATAATTCTTTATCGCTTAGTACCTTTTTAAAGTAAATAGTTTAAACCTTTATACGAAGTATATCTATAATAAATATTTTAAATTTATATTAAAATACTATTTCTAAGGTTTTTAAAAAGCGGTTTAAAGTTATAGTATTTATCTTAATATTATACTATTCTTTTAAACTTCTAAGAATCTCTTTGCGGGAGAGTTTATTAGTATACACTTCAAGGATAAAGGTAGTATACGGCCGGAGGTTAATATATTTATAACCTATTATTAGTAAATAATTTATTATAATTCTTTATAATACTATAAAATATTTTTAATAGGAAAGGGATGTTTTATGTTAATATTGGGGTAATAGATATTAGTTCGCTTTATAATTTGTAGAGTATAAAGGTTTACAATTAGTAGTGATTAATTTATATCGGAGGTGATTGGATATATTTACTATTTATTAGATAGTGTGTAGAAATAGGGTAAGTAGGCGTATCTTTAAAGGTTAATAAATTTATATCCTAATATTTAAGGAATTATATTATTTTAGAAAATTAAATTATTATAAATTAAATTTTAATATATATATTTATTATATTAAAATTATTAAAATATTATTTATTAATTTATTTTTTTCTTTCTATATATAAAATATCTTTTTACTTATATAAAGAGATAAAAGACTAATAAATTTACCTTTTAAGTAATATTATAATATTATTAAAAAATAATTATATTAATTTATAAAAATAAATTCTACTTATATACTAAAGAATTTATATTTGTATATAAAAAGAAAAAGTCTTTTTAATATCTTTCTTTATATTTAGAATTATATAGGAAGATATTAAAAAATATTTTGGATTTTTTCTTATAATATTCTTCCTATTTAATACTCCCTTTTAAAATAATATAGAGTTTAAATAATTTTTAAGAATAATTTAAAAAGAAAACGTTTTTAAGTAAATAACTATTTAAATTCAATTAATAGTAAAGCTATAAAAACTTTTACTTTTAAAAGTCTATTAAAAATTAATAAATAGTTTAATACTATACTTAACTATCTATATTAAAGCTTAAAGAGAAATATATAAGTATATTAAATAAATAAATAATAATCTTTTATTTTATAATATAATTATAGTACCTTATTAATATAATATTTCTTTTTAACTTTTATAATAGAAATATATAATATAGTATTTAATACTACTAAGTAAAAACGTCTAGTTTTATCTTAATAATAGTAATTTATAAAAGAATTATTATAAATATAAATTTCTTTACTTCTTTTAAAATTATATTACTAAATATATATTTATATATATTATAATTTTGAAATTATTTATTAAAAAAAAAAGGAATATATAAATAATTAATATTATATATTTAAATTTCTAAGTTTGTATTTACTTATAGAATTTAAAAGAACTTTTATATTTATATATAAATATAATATTTTATTAACTTTATATTCTTTTATTTTATAGAAAAATAATATATTATTTAACTATATATAATATTTAAAATACTAAAGTAATTTTAGTAATATAAATAAGTTTTTATATATATTTTATAAATTTCTATATATTATTTTAAATTATAGAAGTTAAAGAAATATATTTAAAAGAATTTATTATTCTTAATATTTATATAATATTAATATATCAAATTATATTTCTATATTTTTATTTTTGTTATAGAGAATATATTTTTATATAATCTGGAATTGTAATTAGGAGAATATTATTTATATAGTATAAAGTAAATTTATATTGATTGAACTTAACTAGAAGCAATATTTTACTTTCTTATAAAATAAAAAAATATTATTAAATATCTCATTTATACCTTATAATATAATATAAATTTTTATATAAATTTTATAAAGTAGTATTAGAGAAGTGTAGTTAGTATTAATAAAATAAAATAATAATAAGAGAAGAAAAATAAATTATATTTATAGCTACCTCTTACGCTTTATAAGCGATAGTGCCTTAAATTCCTTATGTTTTTTAAAGTTAGAAGTAATAATATCCTTTATTTCTTCTAATTTTTAAAATATTATTTTATTTATAATCCTATTTTTATCCTTCTCCCTCCAAAGTACCTACACCTCCGCTACCTCCTCCTTCTTTATCTTCTTCTCTTTAGCCTCCTTTTTAAAAGAATATTTAATATTCTATTTAATATAATAATAATAAGTATAAGTACCGCTAAACTACTAATTATAGGCTCTAATATATTCGAATGTCGGGCGGAAAGTAATTTTATTAATATATTAAATATATTCTTCTTTGTTGTACACATCTTTAAATAGATAAATAGTAATTATAATTATTTACTTAACTATATTAACTTTAGGGATAATAAATTTTTAAACCCTATTCTTAAAAGTCTTTCTAATTTCCTATAAGCGTATAAAGTTCTATTAAAACTAATAGTATTAAATTACTTCCAATTTAAGAATATAATTCCAATTTACTATTTTACGCAATAAAATTTGCCTAGTAGCACCCGTATTATATTACTCGAACTTACCTAATAGGTAGACGGTTTATTCTTCTACTATTAAAATTATACTCTATTCGGGGGGTAGGGTAGGTAATTTGCAACTATTAAATTAGTATAGCGCCGGTATAATTAATAAATTTATAGAAGTCGTAGGAGAGTAGTAAGGGAATAGCCGGGGAGTAGCGGACGGACGTAGAGAAAATAGAAATAAAGTAGTAGGGGAGCGATAGGGAAGTATACACAATAATTATATAGTATAGAAAGAAGGAAATCAATTTAGCGAGGAGGTGTGTGCATTTGCTTTTGTGTGGGGTACTAATAATTTTGCTGTTATCTGTGGGCAGTTGGATATACGGACCAATTTTCAATTGAGCATAACCCAAACTTGGGCCACCGTACTCTCGTTCCCTAACATCCTCGGTCACGACTACCGTAGCTTTCGCAAGGTGTGCCTTACTCGGAGCTCCAAACTCGGAGCTTGAAGATTTCATTACTTTTCCTTTTCTTGCTTCTCCGCCCTGTCTAGTAGATCTAGGTCTGGATATGAAGTCTTTCCCAACCGTCTTCAGACTCCCGTTGCTTTTGATAATTGTACAAGTATGTATAGGTTGAGTGGTAAGATAGTAGAGGTGGCCGGGAACCATCGTCTAATATGTACAGATAAAAGTACATCGCTGCCCCCCGTTCTCTTTAAGGGGGTATCTGTCAGCTTTTGTTTTGTTTTTCTTCTTCTTCTTCTTTCATTCTCTTCCCCCCCTTAGACCGCTTGCTTGGGCTTTGCTATCAACCACTGCACCCGATCATCCCGGTGTTTATCACCTCTTCGTGCAAAGGCCACCAACACCACCAACTAACCTTCTTTCTTTCCGTCTATCATGCATCTCTCAAACCTCAATCCACCACCCTCTTTCTTACTCCCCCCCCTTCACTTCCGCCTAGGCTTCATGCCCTTGTGAATCGCTGCCACACCACCCGTCAAATCCTCATACCCCTGTCCACCAACCACGAAACCCGCATCAACAATCATATCCCTAAAGTCCTCCTGGCTCGGGAACCTTTCGATCGATTCCACCAGATACTGATAACTATCCCTATCCCCCGCTACCAACTGTCCAATCAGCGGGATCGCGCTAAAGCTCCACTGCTTGTAAATGGTGTTGAAAAGCGGGTGCTTATCGGCCTTGCTGAACTCCAAACAAGCAAAGACACCACCGGGCTTGAGCACGCGGTAAGCCTCGCGCAAGGCGGCGGGGATGTTGCTAAAGTTTCTGATACCGAAAGCGACGGTATACAGGTCGACAGACTCATCGGGGACTCCCGTGGTGGGGGAGTAGCCGACCTGGTTGGCGCCCAGGGGTTTAGTCTGGGTCAAGTCTTCGGCGTTGGCTTCGAGGAAGGAGAGGGCGGCTTGTTGGCTGGCGGGCAGGGAAGCGGAGCGCTGTTTGCCGACGGAGAGCATGGCGGGGTTGATGTCGGAGATGGTCACGCGCACGTCGGGGTTGCCGTTGAGGATGTGCGCCGTGTGCAGCATCCGGAAGGCGATGTCGCCGGTGCCGCCGGCTATGTCGAGGATGTGTTGAGGGGCGCGGGGGTCGGAGGAGGAAGTGAGGGGGGAGAAGCCGGGGTTGAGGGAGGCGACGAAGTGGTCCCTGGAGAAAGAAGAAAGAAGGAGAAGGTGGTTAGCTGGGCTGATCGTAGTACATGTGAGTTTTGCAAGGGTTGGTGTTGGATGGGGGATGTGACATATGTCTATGATAGCATGGGATGGGGAAGAAATAGACTGAACATACTTCCATACGCGATGCCAGCCAAAAGACATGAGATCATTCATGCGATCGTACGACTCGGCAACGCTGGTGAAAACACCAGCAACGCGCTCTCGTTTCTCGGCCTCGGTGACGGTCTCGAAGCCGAAGTGGGTAGGACGCGCAGGATCGGGAATGGCATATTCGGGTACTGAGTTGTTGTTGTTGTTGTTGTTGTTGGGCTTTTGTTGCAACTGGAGGGTTGTCGAGAAGGACGACCGTAATATCCGGGATTCGGCGTGTAAGAGCGTTCGCGACGAGGGAATCGCCCTTCGGAGGGCCGGACGGGCAACCATGGTGGATTGGCGACGAGGCTGGGGAGAAAGTCCGGGAGGTAAGTGGGTTGGAGAGAGGATCTGGAGAAGGAAGAATTAGAATGGCCCCCCCGGAAATTGAGAAATGTCAAGAAAGTTGTCGCCAGTCGGCCCGCGGCGTCGCAATCGATGGCTGAAAGGCGCTCCCCCAATCGAAATTGCCCAATTGGGAAGGCTGCGAAATCTGCATGTGCCGGGGTAACTAAACAACACACTGCAGCTAAGCTCGGGTGGCTGGTGCAGTGCACTGCACTGGTTTTTGTGGCTTGTGCGTTGCTTGAGCCATTGTCCAGCCTTGTTTGCGGGGTAGCTTCTGGGGACTGCGGGGGTTCCATCGGGCTGGTGGGGGTCCCTGTTTGGTCTCCGTTTTTTTCCCTCCAGATGATGTTCGCAGGCGCTAGCGCAGGGTTGAATGGCTGGCGCAAGGAGATCTCGAACATTGACCCCTGCAGTGATGATGGAATCTTGGAAGGTGTAAACATTCAGGTGTAGTGAACTCACTTGGATTAGACTATGGTTTGGACGTGAAGATCCGGGCCTGACGACGCCGATGAAACAGTATCGCATCTATCGTCGTCGGCCTTCTTTGATCCAGATCTTGCCTCGGATCTGACAGATGGCTCGGACTTCTCAGAGGCTGCCTTTTTGGATTCCTTCACGGTGGCTTCGGCGTTTTTCGCGTCGGCCATCCACTGCGCGATGAAATGGATGATCTTTCTGTGGAAAACGGTGAAAATGGCGATAGCGGCGAGGAGACAGACGATGATGGCCACGATGGCGTTTCTGCCGGACATGGTTGAGGATTCGCTGGGAATAGCTTGTCAATGTCGCTGTTGCTGAAGGGTACTGTCTTGCTTGTGACGCGATATCGCGGGGCGTTGAGGAGAGGGCCAAATGAGAAATGGTAGCGAGGTGTTGCTACTCTACGAAACTTAGAGGTGCGACTACAAGGCGAGGGTTGGCTGCCGTTACTATGGTATGTGCGCTTGTGTGGGACGAGACGGTTGATGAAGAGGTGTTCTGTTCAGCAATCGATTCACTCGAATTCTGAACGGAAACCTGAGGCTATGGTACCCCCCGTTGTCTGGACAGCAGAGTATGCGGCCCAAGTTGGGATGAAATCCTCAGCATCAGATGAAAAAGACCCAAGTCGCTTATTTCGACATCTACCCTACCACACCTACCTAGCTAGGCTGTCCTTCCCGCCCTCAAAATCCCCAAGGTCATACTCCTCCGGGTACTGCTCCAGATGTTCCTTCAACTCCTTCATCTGCGCCTTAATCTCCGGCGTCATCTCCTCATACACATCCTCAAACATGGTCCTGATAGCAGGCTTCTTCTCCTTCTCCGCCTGGGAGAACGCCTTGAGGATATCTCTTCTGATGCTATCGCGCGCCTCCCTCTCCATGTTCTCATCCCAGATACCCTTGGCCTCCATCCACTTGCGCAGCCTTCCGATCGGGTTGTCTCTCCTCTTCCAGTCCTCTACCTCCACCTTGGCACGGTACGCAAACGAATCGTCCGACGTGCTGTGGTGGCTGACGCGGTAAGTCATGGCCTCGATCAGGACCGGCTTGCCGCCGTCTTGTAGGGCTAGCTCGCGCGCCCGCTTGGTCACCTCCCGCACGGCCCAGAAGTCGTTGCCGTCTACCCTGATGGTCTCGATGCCGTAGCCGAGGCCGCGGCTGGCGATGCCGTCGCCGCGGTACTGCTCCAGAGTTGGGGTCGAGATGGCGTAACCGTTGTTGCGGCAGATGAAGACCGCTGGGCAGCCACGGGTAGCGGCAATGTTGAGCGCGGCGTGGAAATCACCTTCGCTTGCGGCGCCTTCGCCGAAATAAGCGGCTACTACCCTCGGGGGCACCGTGGGATTTTGCATCCTTTGGATCTTGAGAGCATACGCAGCTCCGGCAGCCTGGGGAAGCTGGGTAGCTAATGGCGAGGAGATTGTATGCTAATAGTCAAACAACAAGGTTAGCCATTATTTTATTCCGAAAAGGATAGTGATATGAGCCCAAAAAAAGACAACATAAACCTACAATATTCAACTCTTTGCTCCCGTAATGCACCGGCATGTTCCTCCCCTTGCCCGAATCCTTATGGTTAGCAAACAGCTGGTTCATAAAGTCACTCAACTGAAACCCGCGCTGCTTGAATACACCCTGCTCGCGGTATTGACAGAACACCACGTCCTCCGGAGAAAGCGCCGAGGCACTCCCCACGCAAACGGCCTCTTCGCCCGCTGATACCATATAAAAGCTGAGGCGGCCTTGGCGTTGCGCATCGAACATGATCAGGTCCATGATGGAAACCGTCAGCATGTCGTGGTAGAGCTTGATCACTTCCTTGTCGCTCAAGTCGGGCTTGAACGAAGGGTCGACCACTTGGCCGTGTTGGTCGACGGCCCGGTAGGTTGGTAGAGCATCGTATTTTGAGGGTTCCTCAAAGGTCATGGTGTTGCAGAAAGCAGATTTGACGGCTCCCGGAAACATGACATGGCTAGCATCTGGTCTCTGGGAGAGCGAGCTGGCATGGCGACGGCTGGGGACTGTCTTTGATGTTGTTGTCGTCGAGGGTTGGATGGCAATTGGCATGAGACGAGGCTGATGGGTAACCGGTGTAAGAGGCCGCAAAAGGGATGACGACCGTTGACTGGAACGACAGATCCTCTTCATTTTGAAAGATGGGTGGGTGAAAAGAAGAAACAACCGATATGAGAAAATAATGAACGGTGGAAACAGAGAAGAGCAAGACGACAACGCGGAGATCGTGGGCAAGTCAAGTCCCTCAATCGCAAAACAACGAGAAGAAAATCACAACATGACAAAGACGGCAATAGCAGATATGGGGAACGGGATTGTGGAGGACATGATCATTCATCAACAAATGATGGTTTGTTGTTTCCCCTGGTCTGGACTTTTCAGAGGAGTTGTAGTGCGGATCGACGTCACTTGTGCCGACGGAAACCGGCCATTTTAAAGGAGGAGACCAGACCATGCATGGATTAAAACGCGGGGAATGCCAACCACTTTTCTCTTTCGGGATTGGCTTCTTGGGCTAGGGATCGATTGATTCCGAAATAATAGGATTATTGCACGTTATTACCAGTTGCTGAAATTACCGCTAATTCAAGGGACCGTGCACTGCACACAACTCGATTATTTCACAACCGTTCAATATACCGATTTGCTTTCTAATCTCCCCTTATTACCAGCTTCTATCTAGTAACCCTCTACTCTACTCCCTATATTTTTAACGATATCTCTGGAGAAGGTATGGGGGCGGGAACTATAGCAATAGTAATAGGGATAGTAATAATAGGGGTAATACTTGGAGGGTTCTAGTGTCACGGCACCATATAACATAGTCCCGTCCCTTTCAGCGTTCCGCCACTACAACCCAACCGTCCTTTAGTCAGCTCTATCGAATCTCTACTTAATTTATATACATAGTCTAAGAGCAAAGTTTTCGCTACTCTCTTCTAATCTTCTCCTCTTCGTACAATATTACATCTTCTCCAAATTCTTCTTGGTCGGTATTATAATAATATATTGCACCTTTTCTATTAAATTAACGGCCCGACGACCTCCTTATCGTTTCACCTCGATTTATTTTAAAATTAGTACCAACCTCTCCTAGTCCCCTAGTCCCAATCCTATTACACTATGTATACAACCTAGTTATACTTCGTTAAGATTCCCCCTTAAAAAACGCCCTAGACCGACAACCTTATTTTTACTACTATATTCCGTTATTATTACGCTACGTACCCTAGTTACCTACAATATTTTACTTCCTTTTCCTTATATAATATATTACTAGTATTCTATTATTAAAACTCTTGTATTAAACTATAAACAACTCTACAAATTTATTAGGTACGTTTACCCCCGGTTTTAGTACTATATTTACTTATAAAGTTATTATTTGGATTCTCTTCCGTTCGAATACCCTCCCCTTTATTTATAAAGTAGTTGAGGGTTTATAGGAGGATTTCTTTAATTTCATTTCTACTTTAGAGGTAGATTTTAACGTTTTTATTTAATTTTAATTTTATTTTATTATTATTAAAGATTATTTCGGCCGGGTTTATAGCGAATTTTATATTATTTAATAGGAGGCTTTAGATGTTTAGTAAGCGGTTAATTAAATTTAGTAGGTTACTACCTAGAACTTTTCTATAATTTTCTAAGTGTAGTAGGACTTTATTAGGGTTATAGTCGAAATTGTTATTGTAATTATATAGGTTTAATAAGCGTAGTAGCAATTTATTATAGCTAAAGACCGGGCCCGGTAATAGAATATTAATATAATAATAATATTAATTATAATTACCCTAATTACTAGTATTGCCTGCCTATATAGTACCGAACCCCTTATATTTAATAGCGCCGAAATATCCCTATTTAAATACTAGGAAGAGTATATTAATTGGCGGTCTTAATTAATTATTAAGTTAGTATTCGATTTTGTTGTGTATTTAATCCCGGCCGATTGTATCTTTTATATTTCTTAGTGTTTTTCCGGCGATATTTATATGTATATTCGGGCTAAAGTTAATATTATTACCTTTAACCTCTATAACGCTTTAGTTTGGCCGACTAGGCTCTTTAATTTCTAGGATATCCTTATTTACTTCGACCCTTATTATATTACTTTAAATATTTATATTAAAGTAGTATAGGAAATAGACTATTTTAAATAGGGTAGTACCCCTTTTATTAATTTTATTATTATTTTTATTAAATTGGCCGATTAGTATAAGTTCGATAGATAATATTATATCGATATTTTTAAATTTAAAATTAATAGTAACCTTTAAAATATTTTAATTAGTATTATTATACGATTAGTAGCCAATAATTTTAATATATAGGTTGAATTTTTCTAGGTTTTAATTAATAATATTAATAATTACCGTTACTAGAGTAATAGTTTTTCGGCTCCGTCCTATTTATTACCTTTAACTAATAATATTAGCGACCCTATAGTCCTTAATAAGGTCGGCGCCTTCTAGAAGGGATTGATTTCCTAGACCGAGAAGGACCGTTATTAGAAGTTCAACCTATATATGTATTGTAGCGCCCCTGGCTATTATACGATAGTTTGTATAGCGAAGGCTAAATTAAAGTTTATTAATTTTATTATTATTTTAGTACTTCCTTAGAACGTAGGAAAAGTTTAACCTTTAGTATAAATTGCTATTAGAGGTGAAATTCAAGGTAATTAGAAGATTTATATCTATATTTTATAGGATTTAATACTAGTTTTTCTTTTTTAAATTCCCTTTATTTTAGCGCTAGTTCGTCGGTCCTTTATTCTATTATAATTAATTCTAATTGTTTTCTAATAGGTTTTATTAATTTTTTATTTATATATTATTATAATATCTTTATTATATTATTCCTTTAATTATATACCTTTCGTTTAGTTAATAGCCGGGAGGGTAATGAAATTTTATATATTTATATTTTATTCTATTTTTTAGGTTCGTTTACGGATTGTTTAGCTCTATTTATATAGTTATTCGGCGGCCCGAATATAATCCTCGGCTTCCCTTAATTATAAAAGTATAACCTAAAGATTAATTAATTTAGTAATTTTATAGAATTTCCGGGTTTTACCGCTATTAAAGTTCCGGCCTCTATTAGGCTTAATTAATAGGTATTTGAGAGCATTCCCTTTAATCCTAGTCCAATTGGAATTGACCTCTTAATTATTATATTAGTTATTAAACCCGCCCTTTAAGATAGGTTTAAACTTATTATAAAATTTAAAACATCCTACCGCTATTTTATAATAATAGGAAAGCTATAGTTATTAGCGAATATACGTCCGAATAACTATACTTAGCCCTAGGACGCTTTTATTTAAATATTTTCCGTTTTTAATTTTATTTTTGTATATAAAAAGCCCGGTATTAAAATTTATAAGTATACGCCGGATTAATTCTACTACTTTTTTAAACCTTCGGCGTTAGGACCCCC